AATTTGCTCTCTATTATTATGTTTATTGTTTTTACTGTTCTCATTGTTGTTAGCTTCTGAACCATTTGTTCTGGTACTGTATTTAGTGCCTGTTCAGCACTTGGGTCAACTGTAGTTGTTTTTTTTTTAAAATCTGCTCTACATTAAAAGATTGGCTTGACTTGACTTCATAAATTGTCTTAAATAATTATCTTTTGTGGACTCCCTCCTGCTCACATTCCCTGAGACAATTTATGACATACATCACATTCTCATCTCATTTAAACACACCATTACTCCAGTGCCACTGCAGCCGCAGCTTGTTTATTCTGTCCTCATCCTGGATTCATCTGAAGGTACACAGGGAGTATCCTCAGTAATTGTAGCACACTGGGTTCCAGCAACAAAACCAAAACCGTCCAACTCTCACGGCACAGCCATGAGCATGGTTATAAAACCATTGTACAACCATTTCATTGTATATTGTATATTGTATATATTTCAGATTGTCTACTTTACTATTTTATTATTTATTTTATTTTATTGTCTACTTTAATATTTTATTTTATTTTATTTTAATGTCTACTTTAATATTTTATTTTATTTTATTTTAATGTCTACTTTAATATTTTATTTTATTTTATTTCATTGTCTATTTTAGTATCTTATTTATATCTTCATCTTTATCTCTTGTTTCCATTCATGCTGTATTTCTATTTCTACTTTGCATGGAGCATTGGAACAAAAACAATTTCCCCCTGGGGATTAATAAAGTATTCTGAATCTGAAATGTATCAGTATCACAAACAGATAAGTCATAAAATCAGTATCCATCTTAAGTTACTTTTGACTTTTGACAAACTAAGCTACAGGTCAAACTAAGGCTGTGCTGTGTGTGAGTGTTGTGAGAGGGAGATCTCCTCTTCAGTAGTTACTTAGACTCACTTTATGTCACCAAGTTTCTGTGTAAAGTTCATTATCCCCAAGAGATGCCCGTTGGGATAAACAGTGAAATGCGATTGATGCAATTAAACATAATTAACATATCATTCATTTTAAATTAGGATGGCGCATTAAAGCGTCAACTTTGACAACCCTGATTTAAATACTTTAAGCATCAGGGTCTCATCTGTTAGAGGAACACAAAGAATTGTTTCTGGCGTGTTAGTCACAACTGTCACTCAACAGTGTGAAACTGCAGAGCAAGTAATCCACCAGGTACACATGGATGATTCTGGTGTTTGTTCTCACCTTTTAAACTCCAATATCTAAGACATTTAACCTATTTTGAGGATTAGTACATAGACAGGAAGTCATGCAAGCTGCAAAATACACACCAGACACAAAACAAATGAGTAAATGAGTTTCCATTTAAAGCTCAGAGGGACATGATAACAGCCATCCTTTCATATAATTCCACATCAGGCCCATTGATACCTTTCACAGCACTTCATTTGGGTCCATATCCTGGCTGTGCTCTCCTCTCCTTCCCCTCTTTTCCTCTGCCTTTTGTGGTGTCCCCCCCAGGTGGCAAGTCATTACGCTGCTCTCAACTGTGATTTTTCATCATTTTTTAAAATAGAACATCTACAAAACACAGTCTCACTGCGAGCCTGCAGCATTCCTCACTGTACCCTCACAGATACACGCTCATCCATGACCCCCCCCCATTACACACACATACACATACACATACACATACACACACACGTTTTTTCCAGACACCTGGGGGCTGAGGTGGGAAGTAAAGGGGGTTGAAAGAGAGAGATGGATTGTGCTGAGGTGTAATTAGAGTTGTTGTGTGTGTCAGGGTGATGTGGCAGAGTGTTTGTCTGAGGCTGAGACGGAGCAAGGGGTAATACGGGTGTCTATGTGTGTGCATGGGTGTTTGCATTTCAGCGTGAACATGAACGCCTGTTCACCGCTCAGAAAACAGATCAATGCGTCCTCAGACTCCCATTTAGCAGACAAGTGCAAAAGAGACACTATCAGCTGGTACAAATAAGGCACAGATAGCAAAGAGAGGGAGAGGTCAAGGGGAAGGGAATAACGAGAGGAGAGGGAAAAAAAAACTTAGTCTCTACTTCACACACTGTATTCTTCGTCCTCCTCTTTGACGACGACATGCTTTGCTTCTCATCCTTCACTCAAAATCAAATTAGGGACCTAACAGCTTCAGCACAACCGTCTCATGCCTGTCAACCACATATGTTTCTGTGCACACGTGAATTATTTTCGAAGGCCGCATGTGTTGCACTGCACCCTCACTGCTTATGTAACGCGCACAAACACATTCACATGGTCTCTCACACACATCCACACACTCACAGACACACACCTTTGCTTGCCTCATCAGAGGTCAATTGAAACACAACGCAAGGTGAGTCAACCGCTTTGCAGTGGCGCATACATCACCAGTTATTTTCAGATAGGGGAGTGCTCAGGAGGGACATTTATGTGAACGCTGCATCAAGGGACCACTCAGGGAACACACACACACACACACACTATAATTCATTTTCCATACACACACAAACACATTACTGACAGACATAACTCATAGCACAGTTACATAACCCATTGTGCACAAAAGGAGCAGAACAGTTTTACTGGATTTGTGAGGATTTCTGCTTCATTAGTGTGCGTACACTGCACTGAAAACATTCCTTTTAGCTGCACTTTTCAGCACTCTGGCCTGCCAGTCTTAATTGTTTTATGCTTTTTTTTATTCTCACTCCTTTTGTTGTTTCAACTCACATCTTGTTATGTGTTACTATTCAGCTGTTAGCGTTAATTATTATTTTATTGTATTCTTACTTTTTTTGATGTCTTTAATGTCTCATTAATTCTTACTGGTTGGTTGCTGATTTTAATTTAAGGCTGCAACTTTAAAGTACTTTCATTATCAACTAATCTGTGGACTGTTCTCAGGATTAATTGATGAATTGTTCAGTCTATAAAATATCAAAAATTGTTTAAAATGCTCATCGCAATTTCCCAGAACCCAAAGTGACTTCCTGAAATTGCATCATTTGTCCAAAACTCTTGAATCTTAATGAAAATAAGAATGAATTACGAAGAAAAGCAGCAGATTCTCACATTTTAGAAGCTGGAACCAGCAGATGTGTGACATTTTTGTTTGAAAAATGACTGAAACTATTATCAGTTTTCAAAATAGCTGCAGATTAATTTCCATTCTAAAGCTTCGTAGGCAAGTCAACTACCAGGCTGCTCAAAGAAATGGGAATTTGAGAGCCCTCTCTGGTGCAGTCGAACAGGCAAGCCACTGGCTACGGATTAAAAGGAGCGACACCACTTGGGGCCCTGAAATACCACTAACAACGGCAGGGTTCAACGGAGTAAGAGCAGAGAAGGGTGCACCTGGGACGCCAGGTGCTGCCGATGAGCCCTCTGGAGATGTTGTGGGCCTATCACCGAAACACCAGTGAAGGAGGGTAGCGACCTCATGACCCCAATGAAGCTTTTACCCTCCCTAAACCCCCATCCCCTCTCTGAAAGTGGCCCCAACTACCACTCACAACTGCAAGTATGTGCAACAATAATCGACCAGTTAAACTCTTCTTCTCTCATCTTCCCTCATCAGATTGAAGGAGGGGGAGAATTCAGTCCATACAGACATCACTCCTTGGCTCTGCCTTCCCTATGCGTCTTCTTACTTTTCTATCCATCTAACCTTGACTCTTTGGCTCCCACTCGAAAAACCCCAAGACGGCACTATCACTCCCACTCATAGTCTGAAGTATGTGCATCAAGGGATTGTAACATCCCTTCCTTTACTAATTTCTATTCCTTCTTCTTCATGTGTCTTACTTATGCGTCTGTTTTTAACTGTTTACTATGTCTAATGTTTTATCTTTACAATATCCACATAGTGTTTATGGCTGCAACTTCCATGGTAACCCGAGCAATGTACTTCAACCTGGAATGAAATTTGCTTTACAAATATGGTTTGCTTGGTTGCTTACATTTATTTGATATATTTTTCAGCTAACAGTAACTGAAGGCTTACCTTCAGTTAAGTAACTAAACCTTGTCTGATTTCTTGCTTAAAACTCTTAAACTTGCCCGTAAAAGATGACAGAAATACCCCCGTATTCCCTGGTGCATGGCAAATGAGGAAATTAATTTGCAAACACACAGCTCCTGCCATGCAGAAAAAAAAACAAAGTGCTCATAATTAAGCATAATTAGAACCTGATGTCATATGGCGTTTAATCTTACTTTCTATTCAGTTTATCTCATTTTTTTGTCCTGTTTGCCTTGAGAAAGAAAGCAGCACCATCCTCTGCTGGCATGAATAGGAGCAGAGACATAAAGGGACTGAATGAGATAGAAGGAAGAGAGGGCGGGATGTGGGACAGTCAAATGCATAGGATGAGGTGAGTGCGAGGTGTGACGATGGGAGACGGAGGAAGAATGGCGCGAGGAGGCTAAAGTGGGGCGAAGAAGAGGGAGGACAGTGACAAAACAGCTCAAAGGGGAGAGCGAGGTGAAGCTACTGGGGGAGAGAAAGTGACAGACCAAGACGGAGAGAGAGAAAGCAAGGCTATAGTGGTCCGGCGTTCACACAGAAAAGCAAAGATATAAATAAAGTGACTGATAGAAGCAAGAGTGTGTGTTTCTGTGTGTGCGAGGGTGCGTGTGTTTGTTTGTGTCCTGGCTCGGCTCCCGGGAGTAGACACTAAGGCGCTGCCAAAGTTTCATTGGGTCTACCTCCATGCCAGGGTCAATGCAAGCACACACACACTGACACAAACACGCACACACTGACACAAAACCGGGGTACGGCATGGGATTAGCCACCGGTAAAGAGACAGCAATGAGGATATGGACAGAGTGAAAGAGAGAGAAGATGGAGGAGTTAATTACAGAGTGATGGTATTAAAGAAACAGGTGAGAGCAAAAGAAAGAGAGTGAGAGTGAGAACAGCAGTGGGTATAGAAAAAATGTGCGAGGGAGCAATCAAAGAAAGAGGTAGAGAGAGAGGGAGAGAGAGGGAGAGAGAGGGAGAGAGGAGGGAGGATCACTGAGCTCCGCGAGCATGCGAGGATCAGCAGCAACAGAATGAGACGGAGAGAGAGAGATAGAGAGCGGTAAAGAGTCGGAGGAGAGCGCTACTGAGGACTAAAGGACTATCAGAGATGAGAGAGAGACACGGAGAACAAGCATGCGGACCAAAGGGGAGGATAAGAAAAGGTAAGTGACTGAGAGAGCAATGGAAGACAGTTGTTAGGGGAAAACTGGTGTGTACAGTAAGTGTGTGTGAGCCTGAAATGTTTGCCTCTTAGTAAAGATGCTCTATTAGGACCCTCTGAGGAACCTCTCCAGTCTCGCAGCCTGCAGCTAGTACTTTATTTTCAAAGCAGCTCATTCATGATCAAAGACACTGGCCAGGATCTGAATGGAGGCACCGGTGATTGTATGGAAGGAAGCGACAGCGAGCCAACTGGACAAAATCCTTAGGTTTAACCTCTGGACCCCCAAAACAAACACATAAACCACACAGTATCTGTTTTCATTTTGGGAGGGTGTCTTGTTTCCTGAGACAGTCTCTGTAGCTTCAACAAAAGTGTGTACATGTCTACTTCAGTGAGGCTGTTTATAGCAACTGTACATATGCTTATTTCTGTTTAAAGAAGTAGTGTGATAACAGCATCACAGTCTGGATGTATGTCTGTGTGAGTGTGTGTGTGTGGCAGGTGAGTAATCCTATCCATCTGTCACAGTGGGATTTGCTGCATATGATTACGTCTGCTTGCGTTTGTGTACAGTATGTGCGTAGTGCCTATTTTGTGTGTGCTACCATGCAGCGTTAATTGCAACTTTTGCCTGTAACGAGCATTCCAAGTGCTTCTGTCGATATGCAAGTATGTGTATGAGAGTGTTTGTGTGTGTGTGTTGCTATTAAAAGCCTCTGAACCAATCATCAGAACAGCGAGTGTAGCTTTAATATGGGATTATATTGCAATAACCCTTCTCTTATACACTAATGCTGCCCCTGTGCATCTGTGCATGTTTTAATGTGTGTGTGTGCGTGTGTGTGTGTGTGTGTGTGTGTGTGTGTGTGTGTGTGTGTGTGTGTGTGAGAGAGAGAGAGAGAACAAGTAAATGTGAGCAATCGAGACAGTGTGGATGTATGTGACCTGTGCACTTAACTATTATATAACCACATCAGTCAGTATCAAACATCATTTAAAATGACAGTTTGTGCATTTGTGTTATCAAACAGTGTTTCATTGGCACAGACAGGTCAAAAATCAGTAAGGAAATATTATTAGTGTGTCTTTTCTTAGTTAATTTAATTGTGTTTTTGGATGCTTTTATTCTTCATCATTAGAAATGTTGAAGAAGGAAGTCAAAGTCTGGTTAAGATGGAAAAAATATTAAAAAAACACTGACAAATATTGGACTTATGGTTTAGCAATGGGAGCACATCTGTTGATAAAAATGTCATAATGTTTGGATATATAGGGAGCTTGTTGTGGGTATGTGGTTATTAGTTATGCCTCAGAATATTGCTAAGTGCATTTCTCTGTTTTCATCCTTGGATGAAAGGATGATGCATAGCTAACATGCTGGCAGGAGTTCGGTTCAGTACTAATCAGATCTCTAAAGATTTCAAATTTCTCATGAATGTGTTTTTATTAATTTAGATTTCGTTCTTGATCTAATGCTTTCTTTTTCAATATTTAGGAGCGTTGTATTTGTCTTAAGTCGGACTGGGGGGAAACAAACCAAAATTGGATGAATTCTTTTGGCAACATTTCGAAACTTTATGTAAAACTGGATGTCTAGTGCTGAAATCATGCAGAAACATCTGCAGCACAGACAGACATAATTTGAAGGGGTATTTTGCAAATTACAAAGTAGGGAAACCTAATCAATAGGTTATGACATTATACTGCATTGACTTTAATTACATCCCTTTTCTCCTGAGAAAGACTGATGATGGAGAGAATGAGAAATAAAGGTTAAAGCAGATTGACAGCGAGACAGAGTCAAATGAAATGTGTGTATTTTTCCAAGCATCCTTGTGTGTGTTTGTGTGTGTGAGTGTGTCACTCTGCTAACCAGACAGACTGTGAACAGGTGATGTGAATGAGATGAGATGCGGTGGTGAGGAGAGGACTAAAAAGTCAGAAGGGCAGGAAGATGGATGAGGGAGAGGGAGGGAGGGCAGCGGGGGCAACAGGATGGAGAGCTGAGAGAGGGAGAGATAGATTGGGGGTTAATGATGGAGAGATTGGATGGGACGTGTGGACAGGATGAGTGATACGGCGGAGAAGGGAAAGATGAAATGATAGAAGAGGATGGAGAGAAGAGAGCATAATGAGAGAATGAGGACAGGTGAAAAGGGAGGATAAAAAGATGAGGTGACAGGAAGAGAAGGCTAAAAAGAGAGCGGGGTGTGTACAGTTTGAGCAAAAATGCAAAACAGACTGTATCACACTCTATTAGCCACGCTGATAAGAGTGTGTGTGTGGCCGTGCATCTGCAGCTCCTCCTCCAACTTAGACACTTTGTGTTCCCTCGTTGGCGTGCAGGATCTAGTTTTCCACTTTATCGTGTTTATCTCTGATTAGCAAATATTTGTTGGCAAACATCTCATAAATATTCAGTTTTACATCGGTCTCTCCGCTCTGCTGCTCTCAACTCACACACAGTCCTCTCGCCAAAGCAAATGAATTAAGCTGGCAGATGGATTTGTCAATGACACGCTCTTTGTCTATATTTCATCCCTTTTCTTGTTACAGGTACCTAACTGGTTGTAAATAATCTCACACCATAAAACTGAAAAGATTTTTTTTCTTCGCTCTCTCTCAGGGCCCTCTGACTGGAACAGGACACCACTTTGAATGATGTCCTATTTTTCGCTCATAAACAAGTTAAAATGGGCTAAAAAGGACTCAAACTCTAAAGAACATTCATTTTTCAAAGTTGTATTTGCAGCAAATGTGCGTCAGACAGGTTTAAACATGTCCTCAGTTAATTAAATCATATGTGTGGGAGTGCAAATAAACATGAAAATCAATTTATATTCAGATCTAAAAAGGTCAATGATAACTCAGTGGAATCCCTTCAAGGACAAGCTTGCAGATACGACTTATAACGTGCAACTGAAAAGATTCAGACCCTTTCAAATGGCTTCTAATTAATATCTGTGTTATCATTATCTGAGGGTTCCTCAGAGAAAGGGCTGACAAGTTCAGGCAAGTCTGCCTCACAGGTCTAATGAAGAAGTAAGTCATCTCTGGCAAAATTCTTTTTCTGCCTTTGTCTAATTCATGCATCACTGATTAAAACATGCACCCACACAGTTGGCAAAGTACATTTGCTCAGAGGACTTTGTCTAGGGGCAAGGACTGACAGTGTTGGCTCACAACCCACAGCTCTGAGGGTCTCCAGACGCATGATGGCAGAACCCCGATCCTAATTCACTTTCGGAGCAAAGTTAAATTCTCATAGGCATAACAAAGACGGCGGGCCAGATTGGAACATAAATCTATCATGAACACACAGTACACAATGTGCAGTTGAGCAGTGGCTCCTAAAGTGGGTGCCTTGAGGACGGGAAAAGGGTGCTACAAGATTTATCATTTCAGTGACTGGGTATAAATGCACAGAATAGTCTGGTTTTTGCCCTGATTCCGAAAAAGACAGTATTCCTACTTAGCTGCTCACATGGCTAATGGCACGGCATGGTGACGCAGTGGTTATCATTGTTGCCTCACAGCAAGAGGGTTTCCTGTTCGAAACCCAGGGTGGGGGAGCCCCTCTGTGTGGAGTGTGCATGTTCTCCCAGTGTTAGCGTGGGATTTTTTTCTTTGGGTACTCTGGCTTCCTCCCACAGTCCAAAGACATGCAGGTTAACTGGTGACTCTAAACTGTCCATAGGTGTGAATGTGAGTGTGAATGGTTATCTGTCTCTATGTGTCAGCCCTGTGATAGTCTGGTGACTTGTCCAGGGTGTACCCCTCCCCTCGTCCAATGTCAGCTGGGATAGGCTCCAGCCACCCCACGACCCCTAACAGGATAAGCGGTTACAGAAAATTAATGAATGAATAGTAATAATAATGATTGTAATTATTCAAAATAGGATGATTTCAAAGTTTCCCACTATGCGAACACAGCCTCCATCTTTCATTCCTTGAAGGACCTTCTTAAAAAGGTTGGCATTACAATATTTGCACATATCCAAAAACCTGCTGATATCCAAGTCTTTCATAATGTTTCATATAGGTGTGTTTCCTCTTCTGACCTGAAATGTGGGCTTTGCCTTTGGTCATGCATCTCTACTACAGCTTTGCAAACCGTTGGCTAATTGGTTTGTGTACAACGCACTGCCAACAGGCAAGAGGCCTCACGTTTAACTGCGGTAAAAAACCAACTGAGACACCCATTCCGAATGTGCTGTATACAAGTCCAAAGAATGTTCCTGAAACCCGGATAATGTCGGCATATCCCACATGTCCTGTCCAGAAAATGCTACATTCAGAATAAGGCCTAATTCGGTACATCCAAATCTAATATGCAGTTGATGTGACCCATGTCAAATTCTTAATACTATCATATTCAGAATGTTAGTGGAATATTAGCATGCATGTAAAAGTGGTCATTGCTAGTTTATGGTGCATTTTTAATAACGTTTCAAAACTCTCAAAACAGCTAATTTAAGCCATTTGTCATTGTAACACAAAGTGCCTTCTGGCGTGGGAGTTTTTCACTTTTTCAGCAGATCAGAAAAATAGTGACCATCAGAGCAAGTGATGGGACGATTTGACACAGTGAACAGAGCTAAAAGAAATGCTGATACATCTCAGAACTCAACACTCTGAGACAACCGACAAAATGGAAAGCAGACTGAACACTATTCGACGTAACAGACAGGTTCTGGCTGCTTGGAAATGGGATATCCATCATTGTCCAATTCACTGTGGTATGGCACATCCCACCATCATACATGAGTGTGACATGACAAGAGACAAGAAATGGACTGTCAGAGGAGTCAAGATCTCCGGGTTGTGCTCATTTCTCCCCATAAGCGGCAGGCTCACATATCCTAAAGTATTAAAATGCCTGCAACCTTTTTTGTTTAGTTTATTGGTCCTTGTACACCTTAAATATAAGCTCATTTTAATTTAGAAGAAATTAAAGAAATACGTTTAACATTTTAGAGTATTTAGTTGTTTCTTTTA